CGCCTGGAGGCCTGGAAGGGGCTGTGCCTGGGCGGCCGATGTGACCCCGCCCTGGGGCGCGCCCCCGAAGCAAGAGGCGAGCTCCCCTTCCCCGAGCTCGGGGCCTGGCTTGGCTTGGGCTCCGGGCGGGGGGCTGGGAGGCCGGACTTGCCCCGTCAGTCAATGTAGCAGACACCCCCAGCCCCACCCTGGGTGGCCAGGGGACCTCCCTCCCCCCACGGCTCAGGGGCCCCTCTCTGCCGTCCCGGTGGCTGCCCACCCCCCACTGAAGAAGAGGCCCCAGGCCTCAGCACATACCTCACCCCCCAAACCCCTGTCCGGCCAGGACCCCCATTTCCTTGGGCACCAGGGTCCCACGGTGGGCTGGGAGCGGTCTTTGCTGCCCCTCCGCCACCTGCTAGTCACTGGACGTGCAACTCAGGAACCGAGCGAGGCTCAAACTGCCCCTCCAGACCTGGGGTCGGGGGACAGGGCACGAGAGAGCTGGGAAGGAGAGAGACCCGATCCTGGCATCTCTGGCTCTCTGTCTTGTCTCTCTCTCTCTCTCCCCCTCTCCCCCCTGTCGGCTCACTTCACCCTTTCTTCTTCCATATTTCTCTCCATTTACCTGCCTTTCTGTCTGTGTCTCTCTGAGTCCCAGCTACTGTCTCTCTTTGGCCACCCCTCCCCTCCCTCGCCTTGGCCCAGGGAGGAGCAGGGTGTGTCCCACCCCCAGTCACCCCCATCTCCTCCCTTGTATATTAAGGACAAAAGATCACGTCATTTTGTAACTTTTTTCTATTTATTGAACCGTATATTGTATTTCCTATTTTCCTTTGTGTTTTTTAAAGGTTGAACACAGCTTTTTCTTTTGAGACCGGGGTGTGTCTCCTCTCCCGACCAGGCTTCCCCGCCCCCACCCCACCCCACCCACCCGTTTTCCTTCGCAAGAAGATCTCCAGCCTCATTTCTGGGTGTAGCTTCAAGCCAGGGGTGGGATGGGAGCGGCTGCTGGTTTCATCCCGGGGCGCTTATGTGACTAATCGTGAACCGGATGGAGTGTGCACGTCCGGAGCCAGCACGGCCACAATAGCCCTGTGAGTCGGTAGGATCATTTCCATTTTACAGACGAGAAAACCGAGGCTGCCAAGTTGGAGGGAAGGGCACCCAGTAGGAAGAAAGGCAGCCTGATTTAGGACCTTGCTGGGACCACTCTCCCTGGCCACCCCGAGCTCTGTGACCCTGGCGCCGCCGGGAAGGGCCACTAGGGGTGTCCTGGCTCCAGACACCAATACTGGGGGTCCTTGCCTCCAAACTGCTGAGCTTGGGAGGTTGTGGCAGGTGCAGAGGGGGGAAGACGCCCGAGCCAAAACGGTGACCTCCCGGTGGGCGGGGCGCGGGCCGCGCCGAGGGAGCGGGGGGCGTGGCCCGGGCGGTGACGCGCGGCGGGGGCGTGGCCAGGGCGTGTCTGGGATCGTGGCCCACGGATGAGACTCCTAGCCCCCAAATAGAGGGGTCTGGGGCGCGGCGGGAAGGCCCTTGGTTGTCAAAACCTCACTGACTCCCGAGAAGCGGCTCCCGCGGGCCCTTAGGAACTGACAGACGTATAAACAGTCGGTGTCTGGGTCACAGTCAGGGCCGGGGCAAGCGAGGACAGGGCTTGCCGCAGTGACGGGGCCGGCCGCTAGAGGGCGGCTCGCGCGGCAGGGGCGGGGCTTTGGGGGCGCTGGGCCCGGCGATTGGCTTGTGGCGCCGCCGTCTGTCCGGGGGCCAATCGGAGACAGCCCCACCTCCTGCCCGGCCGCGCGTGTTCCCGCAGGTATGTGCGGGCGGACCCGGGCTCCCGGCGCCGCCCGGCGGGGTAGGGGGCGGCGAGCCCGGAAGGCAGCCCTTGGGCCTCCCTGCCGCCACCCGGTGTCGTCCTCGGACCTGGACACCTTACTGTGCCCCTCAGCTCTCGGTCACCCGCAATGTTCCCCCCGACCTGGAGCGCCACGCAGTCCCAGTCATACCCAGACGTCCCCCCTCGGGCCCCGGGCTCCGCTCATGTCACCCCTCCCGCCACCACCTCAGGCTGGGTTCCACCCCGCTGGATCAGGGTCTGTCCTCCGCCTAGCCGCGACTCCCCAGCCCTCTTGGTCACACCCCTGGAAGTCAATCCCTGCAGGCTAGGGTTTCCCTCGGGGTCACCCCACAATCCCCGAACACCCAACAAGGTCACCTTCGGTTCATGTGACTAAATGGCCACCTTCCTCGAGCAGGTAGGGCGGGAATGGGCCGTCAGGAGCCCAGGGTGCAGGGACAGTAAACTCGGGCCAATCAAAAGCTGAGACGCCGAGGACGGCGGCAGGAGTGAATCACAGACCAGTCTTTCAGGAATGAAGCCAGGACAACTTTTATTTACTTGGACAACAGGCGTGATACACGGCATAATCTCTGCCTCTCCCTCCCACCCCTGCGTCTGTCTGCCCCTACCCAGGGTGGGGAAAGGGGACACTGGGCCAGCCCCCATGACTTCCATGCTGCCTCCTCAGTCCTACCTAAAAAAAGAGCCCCCACTCCATCTTTTTCCTTTTGAGTCGGGGTCTCATCCTGTCGCCCAGAGTGGGGTGCAGTGGCACAATCACAGCTCGCCGCAGCCTCGACTTCCTGGGCTCAGGAAGTAGCTGGGACTGCAGGCGTGCACCACCACGCCCAGCTAATTTTTTGCTTTTTTTGTAAAGACAGGATCTTACTTTGTCGCACAGGCTGGTCTCCAACTCCTGGGCTCAAGCAGCCCTACAAAGTGCTGAGATTACAAGCATGAGCCACTGCACCCCGCCCATCTGATTTCCAGACAGTGGATAGAGGCCTGACTCTTCCCTGCCCTGAGGTCCCCCAGGGAGGGGAGAGTCAGCCGGTCCCAGGGTCCCAGGGCCCCAGGACTGAGCGGGCCTGCTAGTGTCCTTTCTGGGTCCGCATGGACCTTGTTCCCTGCCCCATGTGCATGCGGGGCAGTGTCACTGCTCCTCCCCCCAAGTTTGGAAGCTGTTTGGAGCAAGGGCCAGGTCAGGTCAACCCAGCTTGATTCAGGAAGCCAGGAGTTGGCATTTAACGGTCTGGGGGCCCAAAGCCGCTTCCTCTTGGGTAACTGTCTTCTGGGAAGGTCGGGCTGGGCCCGGGCCCCCGGCAGGCCTGTGAGAGGAGGGGCTTAAGGCTCCATGCCCAGAGGGGACATGGCTGGCTTCCCTTTTTATGAAAGGGCCGTCCACCCACCTGTCCATCCCAGGGCCACGGCCCAGCCCGAGGTGTGTGATCCCCAGTTTAAGAGTTGGAGTAAGAGGTCCACAGTGGACGGCTGGGCCTGGCCAGACGCACCTATCCCATCCCTGCCCACGTCCCTCCTCCAGACAGAGGTCTGAGTCTGGGTCCTTCCCTCCTCCGGGCCAAGACTCCCTCGGGGATGGCAGTGGCTGCAGGCTCCAAGGGGCTTGACTCCTGTTCCTGCTGAACTGAGCCAGTGCGAGCAAATCAACTGTGTTTCAGCTCAGTAGGCACGGGAGGCAGAGCCCAGGGAGGCCGGGCAGCGGGACAGGGAGGCAGGCGGGCGGCGGTGGCAGGGACAGGCGGCGGGCCGGCGGAGGTGGGGGCCCGGGGGACGGAACTTAGCCACTGTGAACACGACTTGGTGCGGACCCTGCTCACAAGCGGCTAAGCCCTGTTCCTCAGGCCGGGCGTGGGCGTCAGGGCCCCGCTGCCACGCCGTCCCCCGGCGGCGTCCTCGTTGGCAGAGCTCAGGGTCGGTTGGAAATCCCTGGCAATGTGATTTGTGACAGGCAGCAAATCCCATCCCCAGGAACCCCAGCCGGCCATGGCACGGGGCACCGGGCGGGCCAGAGGTGGGCACCTGCGGGGGAGAGACAGAGCAAGGGAAGCCATGAGATTGGGGGACACCACTCCTCCGGGTCTGCAGATCCTTCTGCCCCTTGCAGGGAGAGCTGGGCCCTAGCTGTGCCCTGGGTTCTAGCCGCGGTCCCCCGAGAGGTAGAGATGCCCACAGAGCCTGCTCGGGCTCATGTGCCTGGACTGCAAAGCCCCAGCTCTGCAGCTTCCCAGCTGGGTGACTCTGGGAAAGTCACTCAAATTCCCTAGGCCTCAGTTTCCCCGTCCGCAAAACAGGGTCCTCCTTGGGGGCCCAGGAGACGGCAGGAACTTCCAGAGCCAAGTTTCCCCTTCCCGCCCCACCTCCCTGCACTCCCCTCCAAGCCCTAGGCAGGCCAAACGGGGCCATGGGGAGAGGAAGCCGAGGGGGGGCGGGCAGGCGGGTGAGGAAGTGATCTCACCCCAGCTGGCGCCACTTCCTAGAAGCCTGGAGGGCAGGAGGAAACCGCCAGGGCCTCCCCCACCGTGGCCTCGTCTCCTCCGTGGCCCGGCCTCGGCCCGCACCCCAGCAGGGCGGATGCACACAGCCGGCACCCTGCTCTCCCACAAGGCACGCACCCCCACCGAGAGCTCAGGACCCAAGCTCAAAAAGGCAGGCCTTGCCTCCCAGACATCCCGAGGTTCAAATCCCCGCTCTGCAGTTTCCCAGCTAACCCCCCACGCCTCAGTTTCCCCATCTGTACAATGGGGCCAAGAGCCTCTCCCGTGTAGCCCAGAGAGATTTCA